TTTTTTGGGGATTGGAGGAACAGCCAGTGGCCTCCCCTCCAGAACCACAGATCTAATGCAAAAAAAAAATTAGCAAACAAGCTTACGACATACTTGTTTTTTGCAAATATACAGATCAACAACAAAATCCCTTTAAATCAGCACACCCTCAAAAAATCAAATTGAATTTTGCGTCTCAAAAAACCCATAAAAAAAACCCTTTGACACTAAAATATGGATACCAGGGTACAACCTATTTAGATGCGACAGAAAGAAAGGCAACAAGGGGGTTTGGGTCTGTATGTACAGATCGTCATTTCCCAAAAAATTTTGATAGTAAAGACTGGTTCCCCTAGTCTTGTGTTGTATAAAAGCCCCCAGGTACAGTTTTGAAAAAAATTCAAGGAACAACTTTTGAAAACTAAAATTTACTGTCGGGAAAAAATCCTTATCCCTGCCCCCAGATTTTGTTGCTTATTTTTTTTAACTTAAGACATTTAAAGGGAAGAAGGGAAAAATAGTTTTCCCAGGAAAATTCCCAGAAGACAGCTCACTCAAAACATTCTACAAAAAAATGGTTGCAAATTTCTGTAAAAAATTTGTTGACCCGCAGATAGTGGAGCCAACAATACATTGACCTTATTTTCAAAATAAAGTTATCTGGTACGAAATATAACAGTATAAAGGGACATTTAATTCGATCAAACCAAACTAATTTTAGATTGCTGCACAGGGGTCCTGACCAACAAAATACAAAAAATGTGGGGGGTTTTTTTTACCAATTCACTTTGGGCAAGAACATCAATGGTATAAAATCGGTCCTTAACGAAATATTTTTGTGTCCCTAGCTCGACCGCTGCCGCACTCAGCTCACACGCTGAGGTCCGGAGTTCGAGTCCCCGGTACGGCTGAAAAAACATTGATAGTATTTCCATAAGACCCCTCTGTCCCTGTTCCCCCTCAGTATAAAAGGGTGCTAGGGATGGTGTGGGTGCATCCTGGGAAAAAAATGACCCATGTCAGCTATGGTTTTGTATAATTTCATGTACTTGTATAAATAAAGGTATTGTTATTTTTTTTTTAAGATATTTCAATAAATTGAATCCGAACCAGAATTAGAAAGGGTAAACACTGTTGGTTCCTTTAACCCTTTATCTACATTTTCCTTTTCAGACATGGCAAATCTTTGGCTTGCAATGACCTACTTCCACCCCTGGATTTCTCCTGGTACACGCCTACGACTTTTTCCCCTCACCTACTGCAGTATAAAAACCCTTTCTCCTCCTATCTGTATTCTTATCAAGATTGACAGATGTCACGTCGGCTCCTGGGGGGGGGATTACTTCAAACTCCTCCATCTTTAACCATTCTTCTCTGAGGAAGCACGTGTGGCTAACTTTTCCCACTAAGATACCAAGTTTTGCACAAGCGACAAATTTATCAACTTGTCGGTTCTCTGAACCTTATCCACTAGAATATGCTCGGGACACCCAATTAAGATAAAGAAGAGAGAATGCATACTAGAAAGAGAGGAGACGTCCGCTCAGGCGAAGGCAAGAATCACAGCTTTCCTCAATTATGTTAGATTTGTTGTTTGCAGAAGGAAAATACTGGCTAAGGAAAAGAAAATGTTGAACTGAGAAATTTATGAATCTACATAGCCAGAGAGACGGGGAGCTAACGTGAATATTTAATGAAATAAATCCAAAATATTTCTTCTCGTATCCAAATCCAGGATTAAAGTCACACCCAGTGTAGGCCCTTGCTCAACCAGGTGCACTTACACCGATGACAGTAGTGTGGTCCCAAGTAGGGTACAGGTGTTAAAAACAGGTGTGGTACAGGCGTTTGGTACAGTTGTGGTTGCTGTGGGGTACAGGTGTTCAACGGTGTGGTACAGGTGGGGTGGTTAGGCAGGACCTACATCTAGTGCCCGCAAGAGACATTTTAATCTAATCACAATATTTCCTGCACTGCTATGCCCCCCCCACCGTCCACCCAGCTGCCAGCCTCCTTGTCCCTCTACTGCTCTGCTGTATTGTCCCCTGCTTGCTGTACTGTCTACTGCTCTGCTGTACTGTCTACTGCTCTACTGTACTGTCTACTGCTCTATGTACTGCCTATGCTCTACTGTACTGTCTACTGCTCTGCTGTACTGTCTACTGCTCTGCTGTACTGTCTACTGCTCTGCTGCACTGCCTACTGCTCTGCTGTACTGCTACTGCTCTACTGTACTGTCTACTGCTCTGCTGTACTGTCTCCTGCTCTGCTGCACTGCCTACTGCTCTGCTGTACTGTCTACTGCTCTGCTGTACTGTCTACTGCTTGCTGTACTGCCTATGCTCTGCTGTACTGCTTACTGCTCTGCTGTACTGCCTACTGCTCTACTGTACTGCCTACTGCTCTGCTGTACTGTCTACTGCTCTGCTGTACTGCCTACTGCTCTGCTGTACTGTCTACTGCTCTGCTGTACTGCCTACTGCTCTGCTGTTACTGTCTACTGTTCTGCTGTACTGCCTACTGCTCTGCTGTACTGCTACTGCTCTGCTGTACTGTCTACTGCTTTACTGTACTGTCTACTGCTTTACTGTACTGCCTACTGCTCTACTGTACTGTCTATTGCTCTGCTGTACTGTCTACTGCTCTGCTGTACTGTCTACTGCTCTGCTGCACTGCCTACTTGCTTGCTGTACGGCCTACTGCTCTACTGTACTGTCTACTGCTCTGCTGTACTGTCTACTGCTCTGCTGTACTGTCTCCTGCTCTGCTGCACTGCCTACTGCTCTGCTGTACTGTCTACTGCTCTGCTGTACTGTCTACTGCTCTGCTGTACTGCCTACTGCTCTGCTGTACTGCCTACTGCTCTGCTGTACTGCCTACTGCTCTGCTGTACTGTCTACTGCTCTGCTGTACTGTCTACTGCTCTGCTGTACTGTCTACTGCTCTGCTGTACTGCCTACTGCTCTGCTGTACTGTCTACTGTTCTGCTGTACTGCCTACTGCTCTGCTGTACTGCCTACTGCTCTGCTGTACTGTCTACTGCTCTGCTGTACTGCCTTCTGCTTGCTGTACTGCCTACTGTTCTGCTGTACTATGCACCGTTCTGCTGGTGCTGCTGCACTTCCTACTATACTGCAATTGATAATTATAGCTCGGCTCTCTTTTTTTCTGTGAACATGGACACCATTTGCCTTTTTTCCACTTCGATACAGCTTTACTGCTAACAATGGTGTTTCCTCAAATGGATCAGGGACGTGTATCTTGGCAGCAAATATTCAGTTAGTAGGTCAGATTTTTCTTCATTGCTGGTAGAAACAGCCCCATCCTGTCGATTTAGAGATGGAATGGTTACACCAGGTTTTGGATCTCACTCTCCTTGATGCCACTTTCTTGTTGTCTCAGTTTCCATCTAAAGATGTCCCAGTTTTGCACTTCCATTATTCGCCAAGAGGTCTGCCTGTTATAGGTGGTGGGATGCCTCTTGCATTTTTCTCCATGCCTTAAACTTAGCAGCAGCGGCCTCTTGGCAACAGTAACGAAACCGGTGCTGATGTGAAGGCTTCTGTACATTCTCTCTCTTTTTAACCATTTTTCTCATAGGGTAGGTTAAGAGTTCCTACCGTTATTTACAAACTAAGAGCTTTACCCACCTCAACTCATTTGAAAACCTTTTTATTGA